TTACTATAAGTAAACAATAGGAATCATTTATTTAATTTTGTTTATATTTTATGTTTATAAGTTTATGACTTTTTTGAAACACCTTTTTACTTTTTACATTTTCATTTTAACCCCTTCATTTGAAACTTTGTAAGATGTTATTTTCACACATATATTTTCTAAATTTTCGCATTTATCCCCCTTATTTATATATAATTAATTTTCATTAATAACTTTTGTTTGTTAATTTTTTTTTTTTAAAATTACTTGGTTTTTTATGCACGAGTTGATTTAAATTCGAGTTTATCTATGTTATGTATGTTTTTTACGTATGAGTTGGGTCACATATAATAACTTTTGTTTGTTAATTTAAAAAAAGAAAAACATATTATATTTGAACTTGCCTATTAGTTTGAGGGTAATTTGGTTAATTTAAAAAAGCGTATTATATTTGTCTTATAAACTTAGTCCTTATTAATTTGTTTGACAAACATGATCTCTATGATTTCTAAAACTTGTATGAATGGTCATTTTTCCTAACGTCGTTACTGTTCATCCATTAGTTTAAGGTAATTTGGTTTTTTTAGGTAGCGGTTTGTTACTATAGGTAAACAATATGAATTATTTATTTAATTTTGTCTATATTTTATATTTATGAGTTTGTGGTTCTTTTACTTTTTAAAATTTCATTTTAACCCCTTCATTTTGAACTTTGTAAGATGTTACTTTCACCCATATATTTTCTAAATTTTCGCGTTTATCCCCCATATTTATATATAATTTATTTTTCATTAATAACTTTCATTCGTTAATTTTTTTTACGTATTATATTCGAGTTTGTCTATGTTATGTAACATTTTTTTACGTATGAGTCGGGTCACATATAATAACTTTTGTTTGTTAATTTAAAAAAGAAACGTATTATATTCGAACTTGTCTATGCTTCGACGTTTTTTTTTTTTAATGTTTGTGTTTAATTTTATGTATATTTCCTACAAATGAATTGTGTCACATATAATAACTTTCGTTCGTTTACTTAAAAAAAACATATTATATTTGGGTTTGTCTACGTTTCGACATATTCTGTTTATGTTTTTCGTGATTAATTTTATGTACGTTTCCTACGCATGAGTCGAGTCATATATAATAACTTTTGTTCGTTAACTAAAAAAAAATATTTTTTTATGTATGTGTCGGTATTAACTCAAGGTGGTCAATTTTGAACTTTCTTTCAATAATTTAAAAAAAAAAGTTATTTATTTTTTTACGTGTGTCTGTATAAATTCGAGTTTGTATACGTTTCAACGTAATTGTTTTTATGTTATTATATGTGAGTTGACTCATGCGTAGTAAACGTACAAAAAATTAAGCACAAAAATGTAAATAAAAAAAACTACATTGAAACATAGACAAACTCGAATTTAAACCGACAAGGACATAAAAAATCAATTAATGTTTTTAGAAAAATTAACGAAAGGAAGTTCTATATTCACGTTGAAACATTAACCACCTTGAATTTATACCGATACATATATAAAAATAAACGCGTAAAAAATTAGTTTTTTTAAGGTTAACAATGAAAGTTATTAAGGAAAATCAAATTATATATAATACATGAAATAAATAAGACTATTTAGAAACTATAGGGGTGAAAGTAAGATTTTACAAAGTTCAAAGTGGAGGGGTCAAAATGAATTTTTAAAAAGTAAAGGGGTGGAAAACCCACAAACTCATAAACATAAAATATAGACAAAATTACATAAATTGTCCCTATGGTTTATCTATAGTCACGAACTCGGTCTCTGCTACCACAAAAGACAAAGTTACCCTCATACTAACAAATGAACAGTAATGACGTCATAAAAAGGACCATTCACGCAAGTTTTGGAAATCACAAGGACCACGTTTGTCAAAAAAATTCAACAAGTGACTTTTGGTAAACTATAGGGACCATTTATATAATTTTATCTAGAATTTTGTATAACGTTTTAGCTCTCTATAACAATTTAGGTCGATTTTTCATATATATATATATATATATATATATATATATATATATATATATATATATATATGTTTTTTTATGATGTGTAAGATGGATGGTTTTGAGTAAAATGTGTTGGAAGATATATGAATAGGGTAACGGTGGAGAACCGGATTCCTGATGGATCGTGTAAGTTCACTTTCCAAACTGATATCTCCACCTTATGTCTGTGATACAGAAAATGCAGCCTAGGATAATCCACAATGACACTTGTGTATCTAGGACATAGAAACACAAGTTAAATCGTCAAAGAATTCTGAGTTCGTTCAAGAAGAAAGAAAAGTTTAGAAAATGGTTCTATATACGACTCAAAAGGGGAGTCGTATATATGCATGACATATTAGGGTTTAATCTTCTATGTTAGTTAGACAAATCTCGAAACTAACGACATAATCAATGGTTTCCAAAACTGACAAGATTTATCAATCTTACCATAATCACCCACTAGAATTAGCAGGACCACCGCCAAGGCTCTGCCCCTTGGACCTACAAGGGGGCGTGCCCCCTTGACCCCTGTCACTTTGTCGTACTGGCTTATAATTCGATCTTATATATGCATGCACTTCGCATTCACCGAATATATAATATAGAGTACAAATAATAAAACCCTTAGCTCACATGTTAGATCCAATTACACAAAATGTCTGATGACACTAAAATCACCTACAAAAGGTTGGTTTATCTTTTTATTGTTACGAAATTTTATTTTTAAGGAAGCGTATATAATATTCTTGGTTAATTCTATTTCACAATTTTTGAACGTAGGTTTCATTTATTTCTGATGTGAAGATGTAAAATTTAATTATCCTCCACAAAGTTTGTATTGTTGTTGTTGTTAAATACATATATGACTAATAAGCAAAAAAAATTTAGAGAAACTTGGTTGCCATGTTGACTTCTCAATGGATTGTTCAGAAAATTCATGTTATATTTATTTTTCTAGAAAATGTGAATGTTTTAGAAAAAAAAACTGATAGACCAAAACCAAATCTTGCATGGTTTTTTGCACTTCATATAAATATAAAATTACTCTGGACGTCTTTTATATTTTTGGTACCGTTATAAATTTATTGAAACTTAGTTGACCAGTTGATCTTACACGGTTAGTGTATCTCATATTATTGCGACATGATCCTATAAATATCTATATGTTTGAGTTTTCTCCTATTCATATGGGCTCTTTTGCAGAGCTACTCTACATATATCTTATTTTGTGACGTCGATGGCAAATCATTATAACTGGGAGAGAGCTATAATTAACATCAAAATTGTGTGGTTGGATGTTTTGATCTAATTACGAATTTACCATTTTTATTTAACTAGTCATTTATTGTTGACCTAAATGATGAATTTACTATTTTACAAGTAAGATGTTATAGCATCCTACTTTCACATGCAAGGTGTTATAACATCCTACTCTCATTAGTATTGATTGGATTTCATGTGTAAATGACATCTTGTCATAGTTTGATGGCCTTTTTGACTACTTGTAAGTTATAAATTCGAGATCTTTTTGATATGTTTGTAATGCTCAGATACAATTCTTTTATAATCTCACTAGATTATAACATATGGGAACCATGGTTATAAAATTAATTAAACTTTTATAATAAAAATTTATAATTATTAATCAATTATTTTAAATAAGTCATTTTAAATAAATTATTAATTAAGAGATATATCAAAATTTTAAAGTTATTACAACTTCAAATTTAACATATAATTAGAAAATGTAAATTTTAAATTTTGAAATGAGTTGTCTAATATATCTACATGACACATGACATAATATTAATGAGGAGTTGTATTGGAGTAACACTTGACAAAAGAAGATTAAAACTATTCATTTATTAGAATAGAGATTATAGTATCCCATGAGTTTTTCAATAACTAATTATATGTATTTTTACCAATCGGCTCCCTAAGGGAGGTCCTAAGTTCAAAGTTCAAATGTATGGAAGTGGCCCCCCAAAAAGGAAGTCTTAAGTTCAAATCCAAGAGGATTTAACTAGGAGTGGCAAGGAGAAGGCTTGCAACGTTGTTCGGGCAACGTATTCGAATCTTTTCAATCCATATATATATATATATATATATATATATATATATATATATATATATATATATATATATATATATATATATATATATATATATATATATATATATAGGGGACAGTTCAAATAAAAACAGTAAATAGTGTGAGAACGTAAAAACATTTTTTTATGTTATTATTCTGCAATGAATTTTGTATCGACAACTTTATGTCATTATTCAACAAAGAATAAATGAATAGTCAAAGGTTACAATTAAAATTAAAATTTACTACAAAAATGCACATACATAAGTTTATAATAGAATAATAACATTGTAATGAATATATGACTAATCGAAAGTTAATATTTATATTAGAATTACTTCAACAATACACATATACAAAATTCATTACAGAATAATAACATAAACATAGTGTTTTTACGTTCTCACACTATTTACTGTTTTTATTTGAACTTACTTCTATATATATATATATATATATATATATATATATATATATATATATATATATATATATATCACTAAATGAAAGAAGAGGGTACTGGAATTAAGTATATGATAGTTCCGTATGAAGTTAAGAATCAAGAAGACAGACACCCTAATGTTGTTGTTTTACGTGGTTGTCATCTAGTTTTCAAATTTTTTTTGAATGGATCACCACTCCGATTTCAACCGTTAGTGTAATTTTTTTTTATTAGGTGCAACATCTTAAAATATGAGTACAACTACTATTTTAGATTTGTTCGGAATTTTTTTTTTTTTTTTTTGATGCCACCACGACTTAAGGATTCTAGTTAGTGTCATCAAATTTTATGATGAAATTGTAGCTTCAATTTCTTTAAATTGTTGCTTAAAATACCCCTCGAAAGTAGAAACCATTGACATCCTCTCCTTCTCTTGGTTTAAAAATGGGCAACAATTGATGGTAATGCATGCTTTTTAATAAGAGTCGTCCAGTTTTTCCAATTATGGAAAGAGAGGTTATGGATACCACCTTTTTCGTTACCCAAAATAGCATTCCTCTTGCTATATCTTCCCCAACTCCCCCACCATTTTCATCGTCCATCAACAATATTCATCTTCTCACACTCCAAAATCTCTCTGCAGCAACAGGAGTTATCCTTGCCAAGGATTGAATCTTTTTGGTTGTTGCAGCAGGTATTATTAACGATTTCAATATGTTCTTCCCCAATTTTCATATTATTTGATAAATGCTACGTATAACATTCACTTCAATATCTGTTTTTGGAATAGATTTGTGGATATTAATTTTTAATATTTTTTTGAAGACGATTTAAGGAGCAAATGGGAAAGAAGAGTTGGTTTTCCGCAGTCAGGAAAGTTATATCCACTTCTTATCTCAAGGAGAAGAAACATAAGGTTCGTATCTCTTTCTTTCACTTTCAACACGTTTTGCATGAAATAAATTCAATGAAATGCCAACAATCGTTAACACATTCCCATTGTGACAGAAATCCCATAATAAATCAAAATCAACCAAAAAATCATTTCATGGAAATCAAATGAGCTTGGATAGATCTTTATCTCTAACAAAAGCGCCAATAGCTAGCCCTTCCATTTACAATCCCCCCATTGATGAACCCGAGCTCAAACAACCCGAACATGAGCCCATGGATCAAGATTCATCCCCCCGTATCAAATCACAAGAAGATATCGCCGCCATCAAGATTCAAAAGGCTTATCGCGGATATCTGGTAATTAATTATTCTTCTAGCAACCTCTAAACAGACTCATAGTATCTAGTCCTAAAATCATTATATGAGATGTAAATCAGATACATAGTATCCAGAAGGAGCCCAATCCATATTGGAACTGGAACTCACACTGCGACTGTTGAGACTTTAAAGTTTGAGTTGTGAATCTTGTAATACAAATTTTATAGGTAAGAAACGGTTCGAATCCTTTGAAGGCATGGAGGAGATTGAAAATGTATATGTATAGCCAGACAGTGAAACGACAAGGCGCGTCCACTTTAAAGTCTGTGCAAACAATGGCTCGTGTCCGGTCTCAGGCTCGAACCAGGAAGATTCAAATAGCTGAAGTCAACGAGGCTCTCCGACAACAGCTTCATCAGAAGCGTATAAATAAGCTCAACAACTCTAAATCCTCAGTAAGTTGCCTTTTTCAAATGCTCTATTTTGATTACATTTACCATATAAAACTAAAAATAATGTTACAACAGAAACGATAACATAACTTTAAAGATACTAAAATTATTATTTTTCATCAGGAAAAAAGCGGTTGGGATTTGAGTCCGAAATCTAAGGAACAGGTAGACGAAAGTTTACGAAGGAAAAAGGAGGCTGTTGAAAGAAGAGAAAAAGTATTAGCTTATTCACACACTCATCAGGTATTACTCTAAAAGTTATGTATATATACAAAGTACCCAATTCATGTATTTGTTTTTAAGGTTTTTGGTTTTGTAAAAACAGCAAACATGGAGGAAGAACTTGAAAAAAAGTAAGTGTGCAGGCTGGGAATGGAATCGGTCAGCAAGCCGCCAATCACCGCCCTTTAAGGTGGCGGCTCAGCCAGCAAGATCGCAGTCAAAGGTGGCGGTTTTGTCAACAAAGTCTGTGAAAGCCTGGTCTCCGATGTCAAAACCTGGTCCCACTCCAATGGTGTCAGGAAAGAAACGCGTACAAAATACACGAGCTTTGGTGGGGTCAGCCAAGAAGCGGGTTGCAGTCTCGGGTTCACCATCTTCTGTTGGGAAAAAGTCATTGGGTAGGACAAATACTAACACCAAAAGGTGAGTGGAAGTTTGAAAATGGGAAGGTGGTTGTTGTTGATGTATGTTGTTGGAGAAAAGAAAAAAAAAATCTATATATAAATGTACTCGTGTTGTACAAGTATTTATGTATAAATGACAAAAGAAGAGCTCATATGATCAAAGATTTTGATACCACAATTATGTCCGTTGATTGTGTTGATTGGATAATCTAATTATAACATAAAATAACTACTCATGGTATAAATACAAATCTTCCACAAGGAAAAACTTTATTTATCTTAAAGGACCTAAATGGCAAAACTTTATTGAACCGCCACTCGACAAAAACAAAACCGAGAAACCGAAACCAAAACCAAAACCGAGAAACCGTCGGGTATGGGTTTAAATTTTTAAAAACCGAAAAATGGGTTTTGGGTTCGGTTTTAGTACGTCAAACCGATCCAGCCCCATGGGTTTGAAACCGACCCAATTCGAGATTATTACATGTTTTTCAAGGATATGCTATAATTTGACTTTCTATGTTAAATATAATATACGTCAAATGCGAAAGGAGGTGGATTTTGATACTAAATCACACCAAATATATGGCTTGTGAGTTGTTTGCTACTTGTTTTGTTTCTAAAAACTTATTAAAGTTTGCTGTTCTTAAACTTGGTTGCTGTTAACTTTTAGCAACATACTTTTGATGTTGTGTTGTGTTAAAATTGGATTTTTTAGTTTCATTAATCTAGGTTGTTAAATTTGTTTCATTTTTAAGTTATAAAGATTTGCTGAAAAATGGGTTACAACCCAAAACCCACATGTTTAAACCCAAAACCCATCAATCCATGGGTTGAACCAAAAAACCAATGAAACCGACCCAAGAACCAAAAAACCGAAACCGACCAAAAACTAAACCTGACAGGTCCTAAAACCTAGAAACCGAAATAAATGGGTTAGGTTCAGTTTTACCACAAAACCGACCCAACCCGGCCCATGCTCAATCTCTCAAACAATTTGAAAGAGTAAATTGCAAAATTGGTCCCTGTGGTTTACCAAAACGTGCAGGTTCGGCCCATTCGTTAAGTCTTTCTCTTTATAAGTCGGAGGCATTTTTGTCCTTTCAGGTATTTATTCATTTTTTATTTTATTTTTTAATCTCACTTGTACAGACTACTTTCCGATAAAAAAAAAAAATTATACAACAATAACAATAACAGAATCCCAGTCCCATAAGAAACTGGCAATGGGGACTGCTAGTCCGACTCGATTCCACATACAATAACAAGTTACAAAATGTTAAATAAAAATTACAAAATTTAATAATAAAAGAAAAAAAAATACTATAATGAAAAAGACATGGCAAAAAAAATAAAATTAACCGCAAAATCAAAACAACATTCTATTTCCTATACCCACTGCATCCCTCCGAATGAAACTACAAGTAAATTCTTAAGTTTTTGGCATTTTATTTTTGTCATTTCACATTTTTTATGGTTCCAATTCTGATGTAATGATATTTTCTTGCATTATTTACTATTCAGCCCTCTTCTTCCTGAAAAAGGCCACCTATCTATTCTTACATAGGCTATCTCAACCCATAAAAATTAAAAACGCATGATTCAAATGGAAAAGGTACCTTCATGTTCAATGGTTGACTATTCTACTGGAATCAATGATTCCGAAGTAATCCATACACCATTCCTTGGATCCTCTGATGCAAAAATTCTGCAATGTAATCAGGAAACAGAACACAAAATAAGATTAATAACAAATTTGTAAATGTGAGTTGCATGGACTTGATAAATAAAATAAAATGACATGTAATTACACTACAAATATACCTTGTTTGACTTTTTTTTCACTAGAATCAAACGACAGTTGACCTGATTTCTCTCTTCACAAGTGCACACATCAAATTAATACAAGTCGACTTCTTCAAAGCCACACCTTTCTCCAACACTTCACCAAAAACACACATTGCATCCCGATACTTTCCTTCACTACAAAGCCTATCGATATTTTCCGAATACCCCCCTGAACTTCCATCTAATTCCTCCACACCCCCACTAGAGTCCAAATCATCAAATCGCCCCCAATCAATCATCTTTTCCATCAAATCATCCACCTCCTCATTCTTCCCACCATCATTAACCACACCAAGAACAGCATTATATGTATACCTATCAGGGCCAAGATTCTTTTCCTTCATTTCAAGAACAAGCTCCTTCACATCTTCAATTCTCCCCTCTTTACACAGACATGACACTAACGTGTTATAAGTTACTAAATCCACTGTTTTTCCATTTGAAACCCATGTATTGAAAAGAGTAAAAGCTTTTTCCACTAACCCTTTACTACAAAGCCCATGTAAAAGAATGTTACATGTATAAACATCTGGCTTAAAATTGTTCTTAACCATGTCATTATGGAACTGAATCGCCTTCTCAACATCCCCCTCCCAACAATACCCAAGAATAATTGTATTATATGTCTTTTCATCAGGAGATAAACCGTTTTCAAGAAGCTCATTTAACTTAGTTATTGCTTGTTCCATTTTTCCCCATTTGCATAGCCCAAATATAACAGTGTTATATGTAATTACACTAGGAACAATCTCTTTATCCTTCATTTCATCCCAAAGATTCATACCCTTTTCAAAATTTTCATTTTTGAAGTACCCCATCATTAAAGTTCCATAGCTTACTTCATCGATTATATAACCTTGCTTTTTAGCATCTTTAAGAAACTCATATGCCTCATCTAGCTTATTCTCTAGACACAAGGCATGGAGAATGGTATTGAGGGTGAAAGTGTCCATTTTTAAACGTCTCCCACTCATTTCTTTCATGATCTTTAATGCTTCTTTTAGATTACCAACTTTGGAATAACCTTTAATCAAAGTGTTATATGTTACACTATCTGGAGAAAATCCACTAGCTTCCATATCGTTTATTGTTTCAAGAACTTTATCCATATCACCTTCTCTACAATACCATTTTATAAGTATATTGTAGGTTACCTCGTTCCTTTTTATTCCTCTTTCACTCATCAAATCAAGAAACTTGATTGCTTCGGAACTTTTCTTACACTTAAAGCAACCGTCTATCAATGTATTGTAAGTAATGATATCAGGGAATAATTTCAAATCCTCCATTTTGTTAATAACTTTAATGGCTTCTTCAATCTTTTCCTCATCACAAAGTCCACTAACTAAGGTGTTGTAAGTCCAAAGATCAGGCAGGAAGTTGTTTTGTGTCATGAGATCGATGATATGAGTAGCTTCTGTCAGACACCCTTTCCTCTGACAATATCCATGAACTAAAGTGTTATAAGTGTTGCGATTTGGAAATAAACCTTGATTCTTCATATCTAGAAGCAATTCCCTAACTGCGTTTAATCTGCCCTTCTTGCATAAAGCATTCAACAAAGTGTTATAGGTTACATTGTCAGGTAGACAGTTAGATTCTCTCATTTTTTTCATCAAATCCTTGGCATCGCCAAATTTGTTCTCTAAACAATAGCCATTGATCATGATATTGAACATATTCACATTGGGGACGACACCAAGTAGGATAGCATCGTTAATTACTTCTCTAGAATACAAAATGGAACGGGAGGATGAGTGTTTTACCAGAGAATTAAGCAATGTATTGCAGGTAATGAGTTTAGGGCAAATCCTGAGTCTCTTCATCCTCCTAAACACAATCATGGCCAACTGAGGGTATCCCATCTGGACATAAGCACCAATAGCTGTGTCGTAAAGTGCTTTGGAGTGACGAGGGATGTCCCGCGTGGGGTGAAGGATGGACCGGAGGAGACGATGCCGCGTGTCGGCGCCGATGAAGCTAAGAAGGAGAGCTTTGGCATCGGACCATTTGTTGTGGGCAAATAGTGTTTGGAGCACCACGAAGAACGACGGAAGAGTGGTGGGGGAGCCATTGACGAAATTAGGAGCGTGAATTTGGGAGATTTTGAAGAAATTTAAGAGAGCCTGGGGGTTTGATTTAAGGGTTTTGGAGGAGATGATTGTATGGATAATTCCAGGGGTCAAATGTGGGATGAATTCGGAGATTGAAGAAGTGAGAGAGGTGGAAGTAGTGTTCGTGGCGAGGATTTTGGTTAGTGTTTCAGTGATTTCAGAAGGATTTAAGGGAGGTTTTGTGGGAGACGACGATGTGTTCATCATCACTGCGTTTGGGCAATTTTGGACGATTCAATACCGTATTAGCGTCTAAACTTTTCAATTTTACAATTTGACCACCAAAGTTTAAATGATGTCGAAAGAGGCAGGGTGAGCATTTGAACTTGTGGACCGGACTCTTTTTTTGGACCCCCGAGCCGGTTCGTGGTTCTAGGATTTGAGCGAAACCGGTCCGGTCCGGCCGATTTCGGGTAAAAACCGGTTTGGGCCGACTTATTTTTTTTTTTTTAAAAAAATTGTATTCCGTGAAATTCTTTAAACAAGTATATATATTATTCGTTTTAAGTCGGATTGATATGAGGTTTTTTCCAACGTATAACTTACGCCTTGTTCCCGAGTTCCACTTAAGGAGAGAAATGGGAGGATAC